GAAAAAATTAATTTTTTCTGAAAAGGTGGTGTCTATTTACTTGTGACCACTCAGTGTACATGCATTGATTTTATTGTAAAATGCTGAATAAATTGATCTGAATTGAATTGAATATGTCCCTTTTGACACTTCTTGTAGAAATGGAAACTGTAAAATAGTGCTCACTTCCATAGTAGTCTTTCCTTGTGCTCAATAAAATGACAAGGAACAATGACATCCAGAGGAAAAAATCCCAATGGCTACTTAGCAAAGCTAAAGGCTCAAATGTGCTGGATGCACCCATTGCATAGAAAACCAAAGATTTTTGCCTACAATACATTGTATTCAGTCTTCTTTGCTTAAAAACAAACACAATGCAATTTTCCTTATTGAAATAGCACATGGAAGGACAAAAAACAGTTGTAAATGGCCCACTAAATGATCATATTGCATATACTTTCTGATGTAAGGGATTGGGTTGACTACACATTTTATTTTTATTCATCACTATTTTTATGAAATTACCATTGAATTGTTTCAACAGGCATCTGCTAATTTAATTATAATGTAACAGATATTTCAAGATATAACAATCATTAAAATTCATTATTAATATTTATTTTTTCCCTCAGAATGCTTGTTGACTGAATGGAAATGTGGCAATGGTTTGTGTATTCCCAAGGAAAGAAGATGTGATGGCCACTTTAATTGTTTTGACAACACAGATGAGCTTAACTGTGGTAAGTAAATTGTTTAAAAAAAAAGACATTTAACTGACAAAATGGATATAATCAACCCACATTAGGTATTTATTGGATTATTATTAGAATTGCTGTTATGCACACTAGCAAGTAGAATGTCTAAAATTAATAAGAATATCACTATTTTTCATGGTTGCATTCAAGAGATGGAAATAATTAACTTAAGAATTAAGCCTATATTGCAGTGTTATTGCTAAGGCTGGGATCTATATGTAACTGAAATAAACGTTTTTTTGCTCATTTTGTTTTCTACTCATTTCAATTTTCACAGACTAAAGATATTATTTACATTTAGTTGATTTTTTTCATTAACTGTGATAATTTGTAACATAATGATGTTGAAGCTTTTCCATTATATTTCTAAAGTTGAAAATATGCAAATACATCAGTTGGATTGTGGAATCTATCTTACTGTTTGATATCACTTGCTTAGGAAAATATTGTGTTGTAAATTTTTCTGATGCTTGTATTGCAACTTAATTCAAGTTATTTTCTATAACATTGTATGTTTACAGAATGTAGGAGAAGTGCCCTTATTTATTGGCTGTGTTCCAAAGCTCGTGGTTTTATTTCTTGTATAAATAATCTATCCACATGATAAATTGCTTGGGATTTCAAGTGCACTAAGCTTAAGTTTTTGTGAGTAGAAACTCCTATTTGAGTAAATGTGGCTGATTATTAAAAATTGGAAATATTGTTTAGAAATGATGAAAGCTAAAAGTATACACAAAGTTTCTAGTCAAACTCTCAGCTGTGATTTAATCAGAGTCAACAAATACCCATAGTTTAATAATTTGAGCTCATTTGCTTTCAAACAGGTGAACTGGTGAAGTATTCCTACTTTGACGCACATAGATGCATTTAATTCCGATATGATATATTGCCTCCTCTCACAGAATAGCTTTTCCAACTTGTACTGCTCTCTATATGTGCAAATTTTCGCTCACCACTAGCCTTGACACTCCCAACTACCCTCACACGTTTACATGTGAGGCAGTTATGTGATAGCATGCAAATGAGCATGTAACAACCCTCCACCAATAGGAGTGCAACACAAGTCCAAGCTGACTTCTTCTATGCAGCTTAGCCCAACTTCACTTCTCAATTGACATTTGTAGTGTTAAGACGTGTTTTTCACTCATGCTTTCCTTTATGGAATTTTCAGTCAGTTCCTTACCTTTTTTTTGGGAACTTGGTTTTTCTTTACATTCTTGTATTCTAAAATTTTAGTTCGTACATGTTAGTGTTGCATGTCATTTCTTCTAACATGTGATCCTATGGAGCTCCCTGTTTGGAATTTTCTACTTCCACTCTTAGTTGCAATGAATTCAGAGTTTCAAGTTACAACTGCTACCACACTGCTGCTCCTGCAACAGTTCACCCTGCTCCAACTATAGTGGCTTAGGGTCCACAATTTTTGACAGAAGATGTTACAGCCTTCGTTCACAGGAAGTTGACTACCTTCATGTGGGCTCCTGATTTGCCTGAGGATTATCCTATCATGCCTTGTCCAGGGTACTTCAACAAGAGGACGATGATTTTTACAGCTTTTTTCCTTCCTGTTCCTATGCCACACAGTCATATTTAGCTCCAGTGGAAGCACCCAGGCCTTCTTCTTTTTTCCTTGAGTTAATAAACCAGGTGTATTATGTTTAGTCATTGTCACCCGTTTCCTATGACTCCTCCTCTTCCCTTTTAAGTGAGACACCTTCAGGCCAATATCTTGTTCTCCTCCCCTTCAGATATTGCTAATAGGTTTGTGAATCAAATACATGTGGGGGTAAGTATGCTTGACCACTATGTAATATGGAAGCCCATGCTATGGCTTACCATAGGTCTGTGTTTCCTTTTTGGACTCCCAGCAGTTGGATTCTCTTCTGCCTCCGTGGGATTCGATCCCAATATTTCAGTAATGTTTCTCATCCTCAATTTTCCCATATCTGCCACACATTATCCTCCCTCCTTAGTTCTCTTTCCTTGACTAACCTTCTGTCTGAGGCTCTTCATCATTCTCCTGAATGGTGTTTGGTGGAGACTTGTACCCTGCTTTTTTCCAAGCTTGTCCTTTTCTGCCCTTTCTCTATACACATGACACCTCTATTGTTGGGTTATTTTGGGTTGGGATAGCCATTTGTCCTGTGTGCATTTATCCTCAACCTCCAATTGGACGTGTGCATGGCTCCCTTTCTAAGGCAAGACGTCTTTGGAGGTCATCCTGACTCATTGGAGACCAGAGTGGAGTCTGCACATTTGCACACCTCTCTTTCCTCATTGGGTTTCCGTTTGTCTCAATTACCTCCTGAACCTGTTCCTCTGTCTCATCCCTCTCCTTCCTCTTCTTTACCAGTGACTCTTACATGGGTCTCTAAGGGACAAACCAACAGCTTCAGTGCCCCCAGTGGTCTCGATGCCTATGTGGTGGGAAAGATGATCTAGAACTGCCTCAGAAAGATTCTGGCTGGAAATGGAATCCTGAGGACGGGGGAAAGATATGGGATGAAGGGGAACGGAAATGAAGAAGGAGACCTTCAGAAAGAACTTGCAGATTCTGAAGGTCTATGGTGAAGGTCTCCCAAATGGTGGTAAATCATAAAAGCTTGTCTACAAGAGTACTATAGAATGGGTAAATCCTTCTCAGCCAGCTTTCTATTCCCGTTTGTTTGTCACCTCCAAGAACACTCGGGACTGGTGCTCCATCATCGATCTCCCTTCCTTGGCCTTCCTCGATTCACCATGGAGTCTTACCTATCTCTTTAATGGGCTTTCACTCCTTGTCTTTGGATAACAAAAGTAGATGTCTTGGATGCTTACTTCTACATTTTCCTCTCCCCAGCATCCTGGCATTTTCTTTGTTTTGTCCATCACGGTGGCGTCTAGCAGTTATGGGTTCTTCTGTTCGGGCTAGATTCGGTCCTCCTACGTTTTTTTGTCTGGTTGTCAAGGTCTTTGCCTGTCTTCTCCATTCCAGAGGTCTTCATTTTCACCATTATATTGAAGACTGGCTACTTGTAGCTCCTTTGCATGCCACATCTTCCCTTCACACTCAGTTTCTTCCAGAAGAGGCTTGATGAGTAGGATGGCTGGTCAAGGTGGAGAAGTCCTCCCCCACTCAATATCTTATTCATCTAGGTGTATTCTTCAATTCCCATCTCAGCTGGGCCCACCCTTTCCCCCCTTTGCCTGTGTTCTATAGAGCTTCTGGTTCGAACCATTTTCTCTTTTACTTCTCCAACTGCACATGAGGTTTTATCTCTTTGGAGACATGGGCCTCTTATCCATCTTCCTCCTTCCCTTCATGTAGACCTATGGTGACTGAACATAGACAACACCATATGGGGTGTTACTCTTCCTCCTCCTCGTCTAGAGGTGTACCTTTTCACGGATTCTTCTCTTTCAGGTTGGGTGTATATTTAGACACATAATTTTGAGACGTAGTCTGCCAATGAGTCATCTCTGCGTATCAATCTCTTGGAACTGCTCACTGTCCATCAGGCTTTGAGTCACTTCCTTCCATTTCTCTGTAACCAGTTGGTTATGATCCAATCCAACAACTCAATGGTTGTCTCGTACATCACTTGGCAAAGGGGGACACTCAGTCGAGATTCCTATGCTTTCACACATTGGACCTCCTGTTTTTGGCCTACAGCTATCACATTCGTTGGTTTATCACACCCTGACAACATTCTCCCCATGGAGTGGTCTGTCGACCCACAGGTATTTGTATGGCTGTGTTCCCAGTGGTGTACTCTGGAACTGGGTACTTTTGCCGCCCACCTGAATTTCAGGCTTCCCAGGTTTTGGTCCCCAATTCCACATCCTTTGACTAAAGCTGTCGATGCCCTCAGTCAGGATTGGGAGGCCTATCCCCCATTTGTTTTCTTCCTTGTGTCCTTTCCATTATACAAACTACTTTGTGTCATGTATTTTTGGTGGCACCACTTTGGCCAGTGCAGCCATGGTTTCCACTTCTGCATCTGCTCCTATTAAACACCTTCTTCTTCTTCTTCCCCTCTCACCCACCCTCATTTGGGCGTGCTACATCCTTCCATTTCAACACTCTGTCTTCACACGTGGCTTTTGTCTGCTCCCTTGCCAGTAAGCCTGACATTCCCTGGTGGTTACTTCCCTGATTTCCCATTCCATTTGCCCTTCCTCCATATCAGTTTACCACCATTGGTATTCTCGTCATGGTTTTTCTCCATCCCATCCTACTCTCTTGCACCTGACTTCCTTCCTCACCTGGCATTTTGACAAGGGGGCTTTCATAAATCCACCATTGCTGGTTATTGCATGGCCTTGTCAACCACTTTTCGTTTCACAAGATTTTACCGTGTCATCACTTCTCGGGTTTTCACCCTGTTGTTTCGTTCCAAACACCTTTGCCTTCCTCCACATTCTACCACTCTCCCTGATTGGAACCTAAATGTCATCCTCCAATGCCCTTACACTTCCTCCCCTCGAGCTCATGTCATCATGTTCCTTATATCATCTCTCCTTAAAGACATTTTCCCTCTTTCTTTCAGTACATGGATGTCAACTTTCAGATTTGTTTGCTCTCAATGTCTCTCGCACGTTATATCACAGGACCTATATCATCCTCTACCAAGATTGGTCTTTTCTGCCCAAAATGTGAGGACGATTTTGCTTTCACTCCCATCTCCCTTCTTTCCATTTTCATCACTCTTATTTGGATTGCCTCTTATGTCTTATCTGGGCTCTTCACTGCCATATGGTTTACACTGATCCTTTCTATGATTCAAGTTTGTTCATTCATTGGAATTCTTCTCTTTCCCATGATATTTCTCCTATTACCCTTACGGGTTGGATTTGCCAGCTTATTCTTCCCTGTCTCCCGATGATTGTCGTCTATTTCAAGTCTCCTCCCATCAAATCCCTGACCTTACTATGTCTCTGACTGCCGATTCCATCGTCCATTGGAGGATATAGTTGTGCTGGCATGTGGATCATTCCTCATACATTTATTTCACATTATCTTCATTGTTTGGCCATTTCCTGCTCTATAGATTACTGTCTACCTCCCATCGCCATCTTGAGCCCCACAGTTTCTCTACAAGTGCTCTTTTTCTACTTTTCTTTTTTACAGGGGTCCTTTTTCTCATATACGGATCCTGCTCATTGGCAAAAGTTGCCTGACCAGGTATACTTATTCTTAAACCAGTGCTGTATGACCATTTAGGTCAATAACACCCACCACTGAGATGGGGTGTTCCACAAAACTGCTTGTAGGTTTTTCCTTGTGGTGTTTAGTGTCATAAATATGTTTGCCCTGGACTGTACACTCATGAACTAATATGAATAAAGCAGAAAGGGATTGCTGCCCTTCCCTGTCACTTCTTCATTTGTCTGAATCAGGAATGGTTTGCTTTTCAAAATAAGGTTTTGTGGTGACCCATTGCACTGTTTCCAATGTTGCATTCCTCCAGACTCTCAAATGCATTCTTCCCCTTCTTCTAGTGGAGTATGGGCATCTTTACCATTTATAAGCTCCTAGCCATTGGGGTGGTGGCTCATGGAGGCTTCCTCTTGGATGTACTCAATTTCATTCAGTTGAGAGTAGGGCAGTAGTATTCTACCAGTGTAGATGGTGTATAGTCATTCCTCCTATCTTGAACCTGATATACTGGTGTTGTCTGGAGCTGGATCAGCCACATAAGTCTTCACATTTGAGTGGCCTAGGTACCCTCTTCCATTCCCAATGCCTAGTGTTGGACTGCTCACATGATGATGCAGGTCCTTGGAATGAATGATCCCCCCCCAGTTCCCGTGTCTGAGGTGAATGGTAGAGGTCGCTAGAGGGCCAGATAATTCTTTCACAGCCCTACTGGTGTTTGTTGAGGTTGAATTCCCCCTACAGTGTGCCATCCCCTATTCCCTCTACACTAGGGGTCCCTCCATATGATTCCACTCTTTGTGATACATAAATTTAATGGGCAAAGAGTATACCTGGTTCAGAAATGGTGCAGTCTCCCACGGATGTGTCTTACTTATTCTTTATTCATGCACCCCATGGGCTTCTTTTGGATGTTTGCTAAAGGTGTTTCTTCTAGGTACTGTTACACTGGTCCTTCCATGGGGTCAGTGTGGGATTCTAGCTATTCTGTGAGAGGAGGTATAATATTATATTGAAAGTTAACATTTTCCTACACTGAAAATGTATTTCCAATAGATTCTTACTTCTTCTCACACTTCCAACCCTTCCTCCCCACTTCCGGTGTCTTTTCCCTTTCTGTTGCTCAATCTTGAAGTGAAGTTGGGCTAAGTTATATAGAGGGAGTCAGCTGTGCTAGGAGTTCTGTTGCGTGCTATCACACAGCTGCCTCATATGAAACATTTGAGAGTAGGTGGGAGTATTAAGTCTACTAGCAAACGAAAATTTACATATATAGAGGGCAATACAAGTGGGGAAAAGCTATTCTGTGAGAATAGGTAAGAATCCATTAGAAATACATTTTCGGTATAGGAAAATGTTAACTTTGGTGCAGTGTTAGTCATAGGCAAGATTATGAGGAGAAGTTGCCCCACCCATATCTATTTTATTGAAGTTTTGATAAAACTTAACTCTAGTTTTGCAGTGTTTATAGTCTGATGGCTACGCAAATGACACATATGATAACTATGCATCCCACAGTTCTTTCTGCTCTGATGTAATATAGTGCAAAGTGGATGTATTACTGTTTAACATTTTTCTTTTTACCAATAAAAATGATTGTAAATCTGTGGGATATAGTACACACACAACATTCACAATAATGAAGTCAGATCCCCACCACACACACATTTTCGTCTCAAATTCCACTCATGATGTTAGTTGTGCATATCTTTGAAACAATATTTGAACTAGATAAGTCTTTTTGTGTGTGTAAATATTTGCATTAAAGTATTCCAAGTGACAGGACTAATTTTCTGTATGTTGAGTGTGCAACTTTGAAGATTTTTATTTTCCATTTCTTTTGTGTTAATTTCATTATCTGCTTGTGGGTAATATTTTCACATATAAGAAGCTTGTTAACAGTGTGTTCGACAAATATTTAATGTATAAAAATAAATGTACTAATATTTAATACTTTCTATGGGTAAATTCTACACCATAGTGACCAAAAGTATCTGAATACTTTTCTTTCAAGATTATTTTGATAACTACTTAACTAATCACAATGAAAACTGATGTCATCAAGACACATAACTGATATTGATATCACGTTATATTAATATTTATACAACAATAAATACAGTTGGCACTTTTTGTTTGAAATCATCCCACAGTATGTTCCAAACAAGAGTTCCACTGTGGAAACTGGACCTCTTGCATAGCACGTTCACGAAGATGTGATGGTTACATTGACTGCTGGGATGGAAATGATGAAAATAACTGCTCCTCAGGTAATAGAAAAATAAGGTTCTCATTGAAATATTTTATCCAACCTTTCTAAGTTAGTTTGTTCCACAGTACTAAGCCTGCAGACTTATAATGCAAAAAATTGGGTTTGACACCCATACTGGGCAGAGCACAGATATCTCATTTGGTTACTCTGCGCTTAGCAACAAACAAGCAAATGAATTTAGTTGACCATGTTATAAATTTAGTACACAATTTTTATTTCATACAAATAATATTTTATTTTTATTTTCTGTACTTGTTCACAAAGTTTATTTTACACAGTGAGATAAGTCTGCTGATGTGACGAGAGGTAATATTTGCATCCTGTAATCTTGGTTTATATGTGGCCAATACTGAGCTTAGAAAGATCTATTATTTGAATTACTCATACAAAAAGAATCAAAATATAGGGTTTATTTTTATATGTTGATACATGGTAACGTTTTGGCTTTAATGGAGTGCTTGTGCCTGTTTCTAGAGTAGGATAATGTTTTGGTTTCTTTATTGATGCTTTTTTTAGGTCAAAGCCAAAGTTGTTAACTATTTAGTGCCCTTTTGCTGCACAGTTTGGTTGATGTAACTTGTACCAGAAAATGGGACCATCTGGGGAAAATCAAAAGAATCCCTTCTCATTAAACCTACACTCAGCCAAGACCATATTTTTGATATCAGCAACCTCTGGACCTCTCTCATCAAACCATACAGAATGAATGATGATGTCACATAATACACTTACAAATATTCCTACTCACATGGAGAAACAAGTACACAGGAAGAAACTATCACAGGATCATGCTAACCAACAACTTTGACTTGAAGAAGGCCTCAGTATAAACTGGCAGGAACATTTCATCAAAGCCAAAACTCTACCATGTATACATTGCATAAAATACCCTTGAAAGAATATCTGTGGGTACATTTTATTCAACAAATACCAGAGAAAAATATTTTTTGTTCATCTATTTTGTATAACTAGCTACATGTTTAGTGTATGAGTCAAAGATCATGTTCTTTTGTCATACTACCCGGTTTATCCACTTTCATGTTCATCTACTTGTCTTTACTTATAACGCTGTTTATTCTGTTGTTTTATTTCTACTTCCAGCTTGTTCCAGCAGTGATTTCACCTGTATGAATGGCAACTGCATCCCAGTTAGTCAATTTTGTGATAGATACGTTGACTGTGCCGACCAGAGTGATGAACCAAATGGGTGTGATTTGCCATGCACACAGGATGAACATCAGTGCGAAAATGGACGATGCATATTATCACTTAATGTGTGTGATGGAGTTGATAACTGTGGAGACAACAGTGATGAATTAAACTGTGATACAAAATATAAATCTTAGCTTTAAGAAATACCAATGTATAAAAACTTGCATAAGTATCTGTGACCAATACTAACTAGGATGTGAACCTGTACATAAAGTAACTTATTGTGAGATATTTTTACTATGGTAAATAGACAACACAGATGTGTTTTCCAAGAACTTTTTAATGAATTATATGCAAGAAAAGCTAGTATTTTTACACATATAGTGCCCAAAACTGTTGTTGTGAAAAACAAATGATAGCATGCACAAAGAAAAGTGTAAAAGATGCTGTTGCATGTTTCAAAAATATCTTGTGTCACATATTAAAAAGTACAACGATTATATATTAAATTAATCATTTCATGCAGGACTACCTTAGTAATACTTATTTTTATTTTTCAAATATTTTTTATTGTAACTATACTGACAGCACTTCATATTAATTTTATATATACTATTATAATTAGAGCTGAAAAATCCCAAGCAACAATATACAGTTAAATTTGGTAATGTAATTCAGAAACGACTGAAAAGTGTCTTAATAACAAAATAGCTACTATTGTCTGAACAATTAATTTATTTGTCAAAGTTAATAAATTTGTTATAGATTTTTGTGATCACAACAATAAGTATAAATAAGCCATAGTTTAAGGATTTATCTTCTATGTAAGCTTGTTAAAATAAATCTGACACTAAAAGATGATGAATAGACCTACACTGGTTTAAGAAATAATCTTTATTTATTTACATGTGTTCCTTAGACATAAAAAACATGGTTCATTAAATTGGTGAGGCACAGGATTGACTTTTATTTAGTTCAAAACTAGATGAATAACCATGGAGAAATTCAGAAGAATAATAAAAATATTGATAAAGTTAAATGTAGTAGAAGACTTTGTGCTGCATTTGTTACATTTTAGTTTACAATTTAATGAATACTCATTCCACCTCAACATTTAAGCAACACCTTTGCATGTATGGAGAATACAAAAACCAAGAAACAATCATATACCAAATCCCTTTCATTCTGTAACCTAGCCAGATATAAAACAAATATAAAACATTTATAGGAAATTATGCATAGTGGTTGTTGAAAAAGATAAAAAGAAGTATGCTGTAGGTTAAACCACTAAGGAGTTAATATATATATAACTGTGGATACAACATTTCGGGGAATGCCCTTCTTCAGGTATCACTTACTGAACTGTAAGTTCATAAACAAAAACATTCTCAATCGAAGGTCGCGTGATGTCACAATGTAACAAATATATGTGTATAACAATGCTTACAAACAATTGAAACAATAGAAAGTGATAGATATATTTATATATATATATATATATAGAC